AGGGCATCAACACTTTCAGTGCTTGTTTTGACTATCCTGGATACTCCACCATTGCTGAAGCCCAGAAATCCACCAGTGACTTATTTTTAAAAAGTATGTTGTGTCTCCCATCAGATGATAAGTCCAGTAATTGTTCTTGCTCTTGAAATGAGAGATGTGGGATTGGAGGAGTGACATCAAAAGGATTCCGAATCCATGTCCGATATTGGTCCATAGGGGGGGGAAGTAAGTCCGCAGATTCTTCTGCAGTTCCTCCAATTTTCATTGGAAAAAACTCATAGGCATGTCTTGTAAGTGACTGTGTCTTGTTTGTAAGTGCCGGACCATATATGAGGGCTTGAGACTGCTATTGGCTAAAACTTCACCACAGACTACACATTGCGGGTTTGGACTGTCTGCAACACCAATCCATGTAAACCCGAAAGCAATGTAACTGTCGCTGTATTTGCGTTTCTTACTTGACATTTTCTCACTCTCTGATGTAGGCCTAATTCTCTTGACCAGCACATCTCTGTTGGATTTCTCTGTTCCCGCCTCTTCTCGTTCGTTATCCTCCATGTCATTTCGATCGGGTTTCTCTGTATGTGCAAAGCCATGGTCGGTGCATATCTCAGAAAATGCTGATGTAGATGGCTCACCCCGACTGTCCCTTGATTTCTCTAAAGTGCCCGTTTTTAACCAGGTGTCATATAATCCATCCAAAAAAAGTAAAAATATGGAATATATTTCACTTTACTGCAATGTTACAGTTTTTTTTTCAACTGCTTACACACAAAATCTTTACTTGTCACACAATTTCTGAAACCAAGAGCTTTAGGTTTTGAATAACTGTGTGTATATGATATATCCAAAAATATAATATTATGGCAAAGGTGTTTGCAACAAAAATACAAATGTTTGCTTTTGAAATGTGCTTGTGATATTTTGAATGCAGTGCTTAATTTTACGAGTGATGTGAAGCATTTTGCATTTTGTGTGTGCAATTCTTTGTACTGTGTAAAGTTTTGAAAAAAAGAGGCAAAGTTTTGAAAATGTGTGTAAGCAGT